TGCCTCGGATGTCGAGCAAGTCTGCGCCGCCTGGCGCCTCGGCCTCCTCGCGGCCCGCCTTCACTTTGTGGGAGGTGACCCAGCGCGAGGGGCCAGTATCCTGAGCTACCTGTATCCAGAAATGCTCATGGGGGTTCTTCGGGCACAGGGCAAAACAAAGAAGAGTATTAAATCCTCATGAGGTCCTTCAAAGCAACGCACCCGGGCCCCATGGCCCCGCTATCCTCTTGATATAAGTATAGAACTGCATGGCGCCCATGTGTTCGCCCACATCCGAGCTCTGGCCAAGCGCGGCAGGGGCGGCCCCGTAGATGCGTCTAACTAGACCTCCTGCCTCACCCCCGCCCCGCCCTCGACGCGCACCCGCCATGGAGTCTGAGGTGAGAACCATCGTCGTAGAGCCGATCCTCAGGGTCGAATTCGAACGGGTCTACAAGCACTACATCCTTGATGTAGTGGACGGCGAACGCGTTGGACGGAGAGGGCACAGCAACTCGAGCCAACCAGCCCCTGGAGAACAGCAAACTGGAGGCACCTGCTGCGCTGGCTTGGCTGGCCAACTTTTCTGAGAATATCTTTGGTCTCTCAGAAGCAGCAAACCTACGTTCAAAGCAACGATGGAGCACAGTGGATTCCTTCCCACAACCGCGCAGGCAAATAGGGTCGACTCCGTGGCGCCAATTCCTGAGATTGGGCGCAAAGGGTACGCGCCCGCCCAAAGACTGCTTGCAACATCGCACCTTTCCCGGCGTCATCGCGCGCTCGCTACTTCAAAGTTCTGAAGCTAAGCTCCCACCAGAGCCGTTGGTTCGGAAAGGCCTCCAGATCAGGGTTGGAGTTGGCTTCGCAAACTGACATGACTGCATTCTGGATCCTGGCGGCCTGATATTGCTGCACAAACTGCCTCCAGAATGATTGCACCCAATAAATGGCCTCGGGGGTCTCCGAAGGAAGAGGTACCCTCCAAACTCCACTCAACCTCCCGACGCCAGAGGCGAAGGTCACTCATTGGCCCCCGTACTCTCTTTCAACCAAAACTTCTTGAACCTATAGTCGAATCGAACCTGGCCTGCGCGGCCCTGCAGAGCTTCGCGAGCAGCGGGACCTGCAAGGCATCAGAATGTGTGCGTTGAAGGTCATCCCGTGGAGCTGATGCCATCCACCATTCTGCGCAATATCTCTCCACCGTTGCAGCTGACACGTCGATCGGGCCCGTGTGTCTGGAAATCGCCCATCCGATATTCATATTCAAACCGCGAAGGCTCTGGCCACATGACTTGGGCACCTGCGATCTCAACCTGGAAGCCCGCGATGGACTGAACGCGCTGACCTCCGCGCCGTAGACCACCATGGGACCCGCATTGGTGACAGTGAGCCGTACGTTGTGGCCTCTCTGACCGAACTTCATGCTTGAGATCTGTCTCCTCGTTGCCATCGTCTTCTTCCGCCTTTGAGCTCGAATGCTGCGAGCTTTGGGGTGTGCTGTGTGCTTGCCACCTGTGATGTCGATCCCGAGGCCCGTAATCGCACGCTCGCCCGGGCTCCCCGGGCTCCCCATCACCCCGAACGCACTCCGTGCCAAAGTCATAAACAGTCCCAGGGCCCGGCGAGGGCCTCCAGAGGCCAAAATGGCAAAACGACAACACAAAACGAGAACCTATCCCGTCGCGCCTTTGTCACGACGTGAGGGGGCTCGGGCCACAAGGATCGGGGATTCGGCGATGACATACAGTCGGCTTTGATCGGACAGGACACGCCAGAGGACACAAGACCCTTCCAAGGGCGACATCGCCATGGGGGATGTAGGAGGCACGTGTCGCGAGGCACAGGATATAAGGGTACTTTTGAGCTGGCAGGGTCGACCTACTAATCCGGGCCGACTGTAAGCATAAAAGCTATGAGGTCCGCGCAGACTCTTCGGATCGGCGCTGGACCCCCCTCCCTGGCGCGCGGATCGGCCAGGGGCGGCGCCGCGGCCCTAGCCCGCCGATCCAGGAGGGGGCTGGGGGCAAGAAGGGGGAGGGAGGGAGAGGGGAGGGATAGAAGGAGGGAGGGAGGGAGGGAGGAATGGAGGGAGGAAATGAGAGAGGGAGCGAGGGAGGGAGAGGGGAGGAGGAGGAAGAGGAGGAGGAGGAGGAGGTGGAGGAGGATGGGGAGGAGGAGGTGGAGGAGGGGAGGAGGAGGAGGAGGAGGGGCGGAGGAGGACGGAGGAGGATAGGAGGAGGAGGAGGAGGAGGTGGAGGAGGAGGAGAGGAGGAGGAGGAGGAGGATGGAGGAGGAGGAGGGAGGAGGAGGAGGAGGAGGAGGAGGAGGAGGAGGAGGAGAGGAGGAGGAGGAGGAGGAGGATGAGGAGGAGGAGGGGAGGAGGACGGAGGAGGATGGAGGAGGATGGAGGGGGACGCGCGGAGCCGCCGGAAGGGGGGGTGCCTATGAGGATCGTTCAGGTCGCTGAGGAACAGGGGCTTGCCGCCGTTCGAGTTCGAGCCAACGATCGACCAGCCTCGCCCAGAGGACCACGACGACGACGACGACGGCGACATGCCTCTGCTCCGCGCAGGATCACGATGAGGCGAAGATGAGGCAGGCCGACAGGAGCCGAGGCACAAGGCGCAGAGACGGGGCGAGGCGGAGAAAGGAGGGCGAGAGCGGAGCGGGGGAGAGCGGAGCGACAGCAGCAGGCGACAACGACGCCCTCCTCCTCCTCCTCCTCCGCCTCTTCCGCCTCATCGTCATCATCATCACTGCCATAATCATAAATCACCATCATCATCATCAACACCACCACCATCAACACCAGCATCAACATCACAATCGCCATCATCATCACCATCATCATCACAGCATCATCATTACCATCATCATCACCACCATCATCATCATCAACATCATCATCATCTTCAGCAGCATCAGCATCAGCATCAGCATAGTCATCACCAACATCATCATCATCATCATCATCATCATCATCATCATCATCATCATCATCATCATCGTCCTCATCCTCATCCTCATCCTCATCCTCGTCCTCATCCTCGTCCTCATCCTCGTCCTCGTCCTCGTTCTCATCCTCCTCCTCCTCCTCCGTCCTCCCTCCTCATCCTGCTCTTCCTGCTGCTCCTCCTCCTCCTGTTCGTCGTCCTCCTCCTCCTCCTCCCCATCCTCCCCATCCTCTCTCCTCCCTCCTCCCTCCTCACTCCTCCCTCCTCCCTCCCCCTCCTCCCGCCTCCCGCCTCCCGCCTCCTTCCTCCCGTTAGTCGTAAGTCGCCCGTTGTCGGCGTCGAGGTCGCCATCGTCGCCGTCGTCGCCGTCGTCACCATGTTAACCACCAGCATCTGGAGCGCCTCGGATCGGCGGCACTGGCTGGAGGCCATTCAAATCATTGATCCTCGTCTGGTTTTGAAATGAGTTTAGCGTTCTCGCCTTCCCAGATTTCCGACGCTCCAAGACGCCCCCGTAGGCCCCCAATATCGCCCCAAGACGGCGCAAGAGGCCGCAAGACGGCCATAAAACGACCCAAGCGACTTCCAAGACGGCCCTCCAGCGCCCAAGGAGGGACCCATGACCTAGAGATCCCCAGAAGCCCCGAAGATGCGCGCAAGAAGCGCACAGGAAGCCCTAGGAGGCCCTTAAGGGGCACCTCAGAAGCGCCCAACAAGCTCCCAGGAAGGCCCCGAGAGAGCCTCGAGGGGCCTCCTCTTGTTCGTACTCCTCCTCCTCCTCCTCGTTCTCAGTCTCCTCCCTCTCTTCCTCCTCCTCTTCCTCCTCCTCCTCCTCCTCCATTCTCTTTAAGTCTCTTCCTCTCCCAAGTGTTTCCCCCAGGAGGTCCACAACGGCTGGGCAAACGCATGATCCAACAGCTTGGCCAGACTTCGGCCCAGCGTTTGGCCGCATGGGCGTTTCCTAAAGACATGGGCGGCTGTGATTCGCCGTAGGCGCCTTCGATCCGCCGCCCGTTGTGTATAAAAGATGAGTGCTTGGCGTGCTGAACGCTGGATTTGTTCAACCCTTCCGACAAGGTCCCTGTGGCCTCCAGTTCAACCTGTCAGCTCACCGGAAGACAACACATTACACGAGACGTGCCCAACCCCCTCCTCCACGCGAGGCAAATATTTGCACGACCGCTCCATACAAAAGAACACACTGCCAAATATGCACGACCTGCACTGCCCTCACCTCCGCCGTGCCTCTCAGAAGCCCACAAACGTGGCGACGGTTGTGCAGTTCGCAATCCCCGAGGAAGCCGCGAGGTCTCGAATGGACTTACTTACGCTGCCCTCACCTCCCCCGTGCCTCCCAGGAGCCCGCGAAAGTGGCGACAGTTGCGTAACTTGCAGCACCCCAGTAGGACAGGTACAAGCAACGGAGGCAAGGAGGCAGGAGGCAGGACGAGAAGGAAGGAGGAGGCAGGAGGAGGGGGGAGGAGGAAGGAGGGGGAGAAGGAGGATGGAGACCACAACGCTGTATCCAAAACGAGAACCCAACACAGGACGGCTGGGCCCCTTATCCACGCGAGGCAACTGTTTACATGACCGCTCAATGCAGAGGAACACGTTGCAAGGTATGCGGCGCTCTGAGACTCTTCGCCAAAGAATGTCGGGCCACGCGTGGTGCACACCTGCGCAACTCAGACCGCACAAGGGCCCGACAAGGAACATAGAACAGGGGACGGAAATGGAGGATGAGAAGGAAGAGTGGGAGGACGACGAGGAGGATGGAGACGTGAGGGGATATAAGAACTGATGAGAGGTTAGCAGCGCCATGCGCTACATCTGCTCGGTTCACCCCTGCTGCTGCTGCTGCTGCAAGCGACAGGTACATAAGGAGGGGGGCAAATGGGCCACTGAGGACAGTGCCGTGTACTGCGTGGCGTTCCGGCGCGGCGCGCGCTAAATGACGGGAAGGCGCCACGTTCCATGTGGGCACGTGCACTCCGCCGTGCCTCCCAGGAGCCCACGAAAGTGGAGACGGTTGTGCAGTTCGCAACCCCCGACAGAGGCCTCACCTCCGCCGCGCCTCCCAGGAGCAGACGAAAGGGGCGACGATTGCGTAGCTCGGAGCCCCCCAGAAGGCCAGTAGGAAAGGTACGGATCAAGGAGCAGGTAGGAAGCGACGAGAGGGAGGAGGAGGAGGAGAAGGAGGAGGAGGCGGAGGAGGAGGAGGAGAAGGAAGAGAAGGAAGAGAAGGAACATAAGGAAGAGAAGGAGGATTTTTCTCCCCCAGAGCAAATGACACCACAGATGAGGAAAAGGACGCGTCTTACATGCAACCTCTTTGTTGCACCATACCGAGCACACCATGCCCCTGGACCCCTTTCAAAGCAGTGAGCAACAGAACACGGGTGGCACTACATATGAGGAATACAACGCGTCTCAAATGCAACCTCCTTGTTGCACCATGCCGAGCACTCCATGCCCCTGGACCCCATTTCAAAGCAGGGAACAGCAGCACACGGGTGGCACTACAGATGAGGAATAATTTATGACTCAAATGCAACCTCTTTGTTGCATTTGCTTGAGGGGGGGTGGGGCAGAGGCGGAGGAGGAGGAGGAGGAGGACGAGAACAAAAAGGCGGCAGAGACAGAAAGCGAACCCGCGCGTGCGTAGGCCGCACATAAAGGACGACACCCGCACCGACACCCTCGCGGGAGCAAACTAGAAAGGCACAGCCAGAGAGCAGTACAAGGAAACACTGAACTAGTACAGCAGATATATCATGTGATCGCGTGGCAGCAGCACCACGCACGGGCCAATCCCTGGTGGCGGGAGGGCAAGCCCACCGCAGTGGCTGGGGTCGCCCGCCAGCGGACGAGGGGGCGTCCGGCAAATGTATACAATGGGCCCCCGCCCAAAAATTAACTAAACAACACGTGCAAGACGTACAGAGACTGCAGGCGCCAGGCGGCAAGGGAGGAAAAAGGAAAGGAAGGGAAGCGCCGTAAACCTCGCCGACAGCGCTCACTGGCTCACTCCACGCCGCTGTGCTGCACAACCTCGTATTGCCAGGCCCCGTCAACGTGGTACCCTTTCTTGAGCTGGTCGGGCTGGGAGTCGGTGAGCTGGTCAGCGCGGCAGCCGTTGAGCTGGTCAGTGCGGGAGTCGGAGAGCTGGTATGTGAAGGAGTCGGTGAGCTGGTCGGCGTGGGAGTCGGCGAGCAGGTCGGCGAGGGAGTCGGCAAGCTGGTCGCCGAGGGAGTCAGCGAGCTGGTCGGTGTGGGAGCTGCTCAACTGGTCGCTGCGGCAGTCGGCGAGCTGATCGGCCCGGGAGTCGGTGGGCCACTCCGCGTTTGCACCACGAGGTTTCGCAACTTCTGGCCATGTACCACCGCATGCATATCCATGCGGCGCTGCACTTGCATACCAGAGCAATCACTCCCGAGGATGTATTCATCAAGCTCGGGCGTGTTCGTTGGCCATTCCCGTTTGGTCAGAGCCCAACCACGCCACAACAAAGTGTGGCCCTTTTTTGGGCGCGTTCGTTGGCTATTCCCGCTTGGTGAGAGCCCGGCCACGCCACAACAAAAGTGTGGCTCCTTTTGCTGGCCGTTGGTGCGGCTGGGAATTTAAGGGGGTACTGAGCGCGGACAACATGCACAAGCTGTAGCAGTGGCACGATCATGAATATGTAATGGGGTAGCTGTGGATCCCGCGTAGCGGCATTCGGGTCAGTGCAGGAGTCGATGAGCTAGTCGGTGTGGGATTCCAGGAGCTGGTCGGCGCGGGAGTCGGTGAGCTGGTCGGTGCTGGAATCGGTGAGCTGGTCGACGACGCGGGTGTCGTCGAACTGGTCGGCGTAGGAGTCGGTGAGCTGGTCGGAGTCGGCTGGTCGATTCGGGAGTCGGTGGGCTGTTCGGCGAGGGAGTCGGTGTGCGGGTCGGTGCTGGAGCCGCAAAGCTGGTCGCTGTGGGAGTCGGTGAGCTGGTCAGTGCGGGAATCCTCGACACCGATTCGGAGAAAACAAAACGAACCCCAATGCAACATGTCACGAGTTTCGTTGCTGTGATGGTGTGGTGGCTGGCGCTGGAGTCGGCGAGCTGGTCGGTGCTGGAGATGGTGAACTGATCGGCGCGGGAGCCGCTAAGCTGGTCGGCGAGGGAGTCGGTGAGCTGGTCGGTGCGGCTCGCGCCAAATCCCCCCGCAGAGCGATTCGGGGGATGCCAGCCCATTCTCCAGGAGGAGGCCCACCGCATCCCCATAGAGCATGGTGCTCATCACGGTGGGTCGTCCTCATTCTTGCGCTGGTCGGGCTGGGAGCCGGTGCACTGTTCGGCGCTGGTCGGTGTGGGAATCGGTGAGCCGGTCTGTGCGGGTCGGTGAGCTGGTTGATGCGGGCGGGAGACGTCGATCTGGTCGGCGCGGGAGTCGGTGATCTGGTCGGAGAGGGAGTGGGCTGCTCGATGCGGGAGTCGGTGGGCTGGCCAACGAGGGAGTCGGCGAGTTGGTCTGCGCCAGAGTCGGTGAGCTGGTGGGTACGGACGTCGGCAAGCTAGTCGGCGCGGGAGTC